TGGGGCGATGGCTTGAGTGGTAGCAGCAGCAGCTTTGGGGGGAGCTGGTGGGCAGAGCACGGGACTTAGATTTGGGAGACCCGGGTTCAGTTCCCAGCTCGGACACGGGCTTCTTGTGAGACCTTGGGCAAGTCACTTAGTCTAGCCCGTGCCTCAGTTTCCCATCTGTAAAATGGGGGTGATAATACATGCCTCCATCTCAGGGTGCAGGCAGGGTGGGATCTGTGATGAGGCGCGAAGGAGAGACTGGGGAGGGAAGGTGCGGGGTACCAGAGAACAGCTGCTGGCTCGGAGTCAGTACAGTCGAGTGGTCGGCACAGGTGGGGCTAGGAGGGGAGGATGCCTGGATCCCGTGCTGAGTGGGGTCAAAGCAAGTGGCAGGTCTCTTCCTGGGTTCTGATCCCAGCTCTGGAAGGGGAGTGGTGTGTAGTGGTTAGAGCAGGGGGCAGTCAAGGCTGCTGGGAGGGCAGCAGCGGGTGGCTGGCCTGGGAGCCAGGATGCCTGGCTTCTCTTGCCCGCTCAGACACCGGTGTGACCGGGACTTGTCCCAATGTGGGAGGTGTGACTACGTGGCGTGGCTGTGAACCCTGGGCTCTCGTTGGGACCGAGAGCCTGGACTCCTGGGATGACGTCCCGGCCCACCCGGGTGGGAAATGCGGGGGCTGGAGATGATGCTTCAGGCTCTGTCTGTCGCAGGGGTCCGGTACAACGCCAAGAAGAAGAAAGTTGGGAATTACTACACCACCCCCATCTACAGGTGGGTGCGGGAAGCGCATGTTCCTCCCTCTCTCCCCTCTCAGCCTGCCCTGAGCTGTGAGCGGGGCCTGTGGCTGCATCCAGAACCTCATCTCTGTCGTGGCCCCAACAGCCTCACCCAGCAGAGCGACCGCAGTTATAGCAGGGGAGCCAGGACCCCTGGGATCTGTTCCCAGCTCTGGGAGGGGAGTGGGGTGCAGTGGTTAGAGCAGTGGAGTCTATTCCCAGCTCTGCCACACAAGTGGAAGAAGGACAAAGTGTCTGTGGGGCCCGTGGCAATACGTGGCTAGGAGGGTCTCGCTCCGTGAGCACATGGCCCTGCGGAGGCAGACGCTGCCACTGCCCACGGCTAAGGGAAAGGGGATCAAACCAGCAGCTCCTGGGATTTCTTCCGCCGCATCCAGCCCCGCTGCCTC